TTCTCCCTCTCCCACTCCCCCTGCTTGTGTTCCCTCTCTCACTGTGTCTCTCTCTGTCAAATAAATAAATAAAATCTTTAAAAAAAAAAAAGAAACTACTAAACTCTTTCCCAAAGTTGTGCCTTTGTACGTCTCCACTATTAGTGTATGAGAGTTACTATTCCTTCTCATCCTCATCAACAATGGCAGGCTTCTTCATTTCAGCCATCCCATGGGCTGTGTAGTAGTATCTCATTGTGGTTTCCATTTGTAATTTCCTAATGACTAATGATGCTGAGCATCTCTTCATATGCTATTTCCCATCTGCATATCTTTTTTTGGTGAAGTATCTGTTGAGTAGATACAGAAAGCATTTCATAAAATCTTACGTCTTTTTAAGATAAAAAAAAAAAACCCTAGCCAACTAGGAAGAGAAGCAAATTTCCTTAATCTGATAAAAGCTATCTATGCTAAAAAGCCTATAGCAAACACAATACTGAATAGTGAAACATTAAAAGCTTTCTCCTGAGATAGATAAACCAGGAGACTGCCGTCACTCTTCTTCTCAATACTGTCCCAAAGGACTCCAACCAATACAAGAGTCAAGAAAAATAAATAAAAATGTATGGATCAGAAAGGAAGAAATAAAGCTGTCATTATCTACAGATGACAAGATTATACGTGGAAAAATTTGAGGAGAATCTATAAACAACCTATGAGGCGTAATCACTGAATTTAGTAAGGTCACTAGAATCAAGGTCAATATACAAAAGTCAATTTGTTTTATTTCTATATTAGGATACAATTAGAAAAGGAAATTAAAATATTACCATTTATAACAGCATAAAAATCAAATGCCCAGACAGACATAAAGAAGATACACATGATCTTTACATAGAGATCTGTAAAACATTTTTGAGAAAAATTAAGATTTAAATAAAAGAAATGCACATGGATAGGAGAGCTCAATATTGCAGAGATGTGAATTATCCCTAAATTGATTGCTAGAATCAATGCAATCCAAGCCAAAATGACAGTAAGGATTTTTATCTTTAGGACATTAATGAGTTGATCCCAAAATTTACATGGAAATGCAATGGGGCCAAGAATCATCAAGATAAGGTACAAAGCTGAAAGATTTATGCTAGTAGATTCAAGGCTTGTTATAAAGTTACAGTAATTAGGGGTGCCTGGGTGCCTCAGTTGGTTAAGCAACTGCCTTCCGCTCAGGTCATGATCCTGGCGTCCCGGGATCAAGTCCCACATCGGGCTCCCTGCTCAGCAGGGAGTCTGC